GTAGAGACCCACAGACTCACGCGTAGAGACACAGACTCACGCGTAAAGACCCACAGACTCGCGTAAAGACCCACAGACTCACATAGAGACCCACAGACTCACGCGTAGAGACACACAGACTCGCGTAGAGACCCACAGACTCACGTGTAGAGACACACAGACTCGCGTAGAGACCCACAGACTCACATAGAGACCCACAGACTCACGCGTAGAGACACACAGACTCGCGTAGAGACCCACAGACTCACATAGAGACCCACAGACTCACATAGAGACCCACAGACTCACGCGTAGAGACCCACAGACTCGCGTAGAGACCCACAGACTCGCGTAGAGACCCACAGACTCACGCGTAGAGACCTATGCCCCAACAACACAAAGCGCCCACTGTGTCTTTTCAGCGCCTTGAGACGCGGTCACACTCCTAGTCTTACGCAAGCCTCACACACTCCTCAAGAGGCTGGGTTCGACTGTGGGCCTGCGTGTCTGGCGGTCTTCTTGGCCAACAGCTACCGCCCCCCATGCCCCCCCCCCCCCACCCCGGGTGGGCGCACGCACCACACCATGGAGGTCTCGTTGGCCTCCAGCTCGCAGGCGAAGCAGGGGACGTTGCCGGCCCAGCTGGGCTCCTTCACGGGCACCATGCGCCCAGAGGCGGCAGCGTCGCCGCAGCGCAGCGGAGAGACGCACACTGACGGCGGAGAGAAATGAGAGGGGGTGGGGGGGAGTGGAGAGACGCGCGGGGAGGGACATGGGGAGTAGGGTCATGGGGAGTAGGGACATGGGGGGGGGGGTAGGGACATGGGGGGGGGGGTAGAGACATGGGGGGGTGGGGTAGAGACATGGGGAGTAGAGACATGGGGAGTAGGGACATGGGGGGGGGTAGAGACATGGGGAATAGGGACATGGGGGGGGGTAGAGACATGGGGAATAGGGACATGGGGGGGGGGGTAGGGACATGGGGAGTAGAGACATGGGGGGTAGAGACATGGGGGGGGGGTAGAGACATGGGGGTAGAGACATGGGAGAGATACCGACGATGAGGATGATGGTATAAGAATAGGTTTTACCCTTTCTGGCAATAAAACTGGTGTTAAGATGTGAAAACACTAAACGGAAACCTTTTGCGAAGAATCGTGTCTGCATTAAACAATACATTTTAGTTTGCTGTTAACACAACTGTTTTATTGCCAGAAAGGGTAAATCGTATTATAATATTTTGATACTGGCAAGGGAGGTCCCATGATGATGGTAATTATGCTGCTGATGGTGACAATGGTAGTGAAGGTGTGCAAGGAAATGGTGGTGGTGATGCTGAATGTGATGGTGGTGATGGTGAATGTGATGGTGGTCATGAGTTTAAGCTGCTTCTGAAGATGATGATTATGGAAATTATGGCAATGCTGTAGTTACTGATGCACATTATGATGATGATGGGCATGATAGCTATTACGTATTGTGCTGTTGGTGATATTAATAGCGAGGAAATTGATGGGAATTATTCTGTTTATGATACTGTTGATAATAGCTAATGATGATGGTGATGATGGCAGTGATGTAGACGGTGAAGTTAGCCCGTGGGAAGCAGCATGCGTGGCTCACCTAGCACGGCCACCGTGACGACCCAGCAGGTGATCAGGTGTCTCACCATCTCCTCCATGTGCAGGTGAGTGCGCGTGCCAGGCGTGGTGCAGTGCAGACGCCACTCACGGCAGACCAGGCCGACCCGCCCGCCCGCAAACACCCTCACCACGATCCTGCTGCACACCTGTACGAGACCCCACCTGCACCAGAAAACACCTGTACGAGACCTCACCTGCACCAGAGAACACCTGTATGAGACCTCACCTGTACCACGGAATATAGATTTACAACATCGAGGTGCTAATGAATTATAACACGTAATAATAATGATGGTTCACCCGTTGTCAGAATCCACCTGGATCCCACCTCCACCATGATTAGTGTGACTATCAGGATCATCAATAGCATCGTCATCAGCAGCAGCAGCACCACCACATCCATTCATTGCATTGCGCTCCACTATCAACCTGGCCACTTGAGATAGGGTCAGCCCTCACCTGGATCAGAACTCACCTGGGTCCTACACTCACCACCATCACAGCCATTACAGTGCATTATACTACCGCGACCAACCACCCGAGTCCGAATACGATCTCACCTTGATCTCCATCTCACCTGGCGTTCAATCTCACCTGGATACTATCTCCCCGAGAGTTCAATCTCATCTTGATCTCAATCTCACCTGGGTACGAACTCCCCTGGACCTCATTCTCACCCGAATTAAGTACTCACAAGAATGAGCTATCACGTGGACCTCACCTCGGTATCAAACACACGCGCACTGCACAACGACATTTTAAAGTGCGCGGAGCCGCGTGGAGAGATGCACGCTGGCACTGGTGAGAGACTGCGAGCCGGGGCCACGCGGGGCGAGACGCCACTCAGCCCGCTCCGTGAGCTCGGGCAGCGCGCGTCACGGTGCTAGCAGCCAGGGTGGGGAGCGCGGAGATGGAGCGGCGATTATGAGGATCAGCTCGCGAACGGAGCAGATTTGTTGCGACATCGCTGGATCGTGACGTGAGGCGGCTGGCCTGGGGAGGAAGCCGTGTCCCGTGGTGGTGATGATGGTGGCGATGGCTGTGACTGTACGTCTGCGCTCTCCGCCATCACCACCGCGGTGAGGTATGGTCAAGTTGTTCCCTCGTCCAGTATTTACCCTGGCAGACGATGATGATGACGATGATGATGGTGGTGATGCCACGCTCCACCTGCGTGAGAGCTCACCTGGATCTGCTCGCCTCTCTCCCCTCTGTTGTTGTTTCTCTCTGCCAGTCCACGCCTCACCTGGATGTTACGGGATGTGACGTCATGCTCATCTAAATCTCGCCTGGGGACGTCATGCACATCTCGCTTACCTGGTGACGTCACGCGGAATCCCGCTCACCTGGTGACGTCACGCGCTTCGCGCTCACCTGGCGACGTCATGCGCATCGCGCTCACCTGGCGACGTCACGCGCATCTCGCTCACCTGGTGACGTCACGCGCATCTCGCTCCCTGGTGACGTCACGCGCATCTCGCTCACCTGGTGACGTCATGCGCATCTCACTCCCTGGTGACATCATGCGCATGTCGCTCCCTGGTGACGTCACGCGCATCTCGCTCACCTGGTGACGTCATGCGCATCTCGCTCCCTGGTGACGTCACGCGCATCTCGCTCACCTGGTGACGTCACGCGCATCTCGCTCACCTGGCGACGTCATGCGCATGTCGCTCACCTGGCGACGTCACGCGCATCTCACTCCCTGGTGACGTCACGCGCATCCCGCTCACCTGGTGACTTGACGTGCATCGTGCTCACTTAGTGGCGTTACGCGCATCTTAATCCACCTGACGTCACGCGCATTTCACCTGGTGACGTCACGCGCACCCACACTCACCTGGTGACGTCACAGAAATGAATAAATGACCCGTGTATACAATTGTAAACCTCCAGGCCGTCGCTAAACTAAACATTTGTTTTATTTTACCAGGTAAGCCCTGGCTGTCACAAATGGTAGCTCAACAAAGTGGCTGATCATCACGTGGCAATGTAGAGCAGCAAAATACTCGAAACGCGTGCTGTCGATTCTGAATGTGGAGGGGGAAATCGGAGGACCCGGAGAAAAATCCACGCGACCTCGGGGAGAATTTGCAAACTCCAAATCTACAGCAGCAGGCGTCAGGCTCGGAGTCGAGCTCACGGCCTCCTCCTGTGCACCAGGCGAGGTAGTTCACGTCTCGCCACCACGCCGCTTGAGGTCTTCGCGGGCGCGTTTCCCACCTTTGACTGCCGCTCCGTCGATATTCTCGGCCAAGGTTAGTGAAACACATTTGTTTTTGCATCACCGTATTGAAAAGTCCGGTAAAACCGGTTGCCCAACCCACACGTGACAGAAATGCCTGTTGCAATACCCATCATGGTCATCATCATCATCACGTGTGCAGCCTTACAGCCGCGGTAGCGCTGTTCGTGGCCATCCGCACCCGGCGTGCGATCCAGAGGCCGCCGGTTCACCACCCTCCCCTGCCGCTATCCACTCGGCAGCAGCCGCGTGGGCTCACCACCGTCACGGCTACGTCCGCGAGGTGACCTGTAGCGGAGTGGTGACCGTCTGTGGGCTCACCGCGCCGCATCTCCCCGGGTATGCACGGCACACACAGCCCCAACCACCGACTATGGCCACTTGCTGCTGTCATCCGTGTCCACCTGGAGAGCGACGGCGCAGTGGCGAGCGCGCCGCGCTATGAACCCGGCGACCCGAGTTCGATTCTCGCTCACGGACAACACCGGTGACGATTATCTGAACCGGTACTGGGCCTCCCCTAGGTCGACTCAGCCTCAAATGAGTACCTGGTGCGGTGTGTAAACATCGCCACTGGGGAGACAAAGGCGTCCGGGGGTGGTGCTGGCCACCCACCCCTCGTGTACTCGCTCACGGCACTTGCCCCAGCAGTCTGTTGAAGCTACCCGGGGGATCTTTGTGGTCCACGTGGTACGTGCGGCTCCCTCGGGCCACGCGCTCAAGAGCCACCGTGAGGTGCTGGAGTCACTCCCATGGAAATATCTTCGAGTTGGAGTCGGTCTCCTTGCCCAGGCTGGAAGGACAGGAGGCAGACGTGAAGAGAACACGGCACCCATTCCTCATTAACCCCTCCACACCCTCGCTCGCGTGTTGGACCCCTCTGGGGGGCTCAGTGGCACCAGGCCGCACGCCTCGTTACCTGCGTGAGACCCCCACCTCCACTCTCCCCCCCATCTCCACCCCCATCTCCACCCCCACCTCCACTACGTCATAGACATGAGAAACGCGTGTTCCTCGTGGAGCGCCGCGCCTGTGGCGGAGTGCTGCCGGATGACAAGCAACCTAAGCCTGGACGTCGCGATGTGTGTCAAGTGGAACGACATTGACACCCTCGTGTGACGGAGTCATCACAGTTCAAGCAAACGGCACTTTAATAATCTATAAAACAAACAGGACGAACCCGCGCGTCGCCCTGCGAGTGTGTGAGACGCAGTGCGAGTTCTGTCAATCACCGCGATGTGCCCGGCTGTGTTCTGGTTTAGCGTAAGTCACGAACATTTCTTTAAGAGTTTTATTTCACCTGGTAAGACCCACTGAGCTCTGGAGCTCGTTCTCAGAAGCCACCTGGTCACGTGATCGCTCAACGAAGCGGCTTATGGTCACGTGGAAGTACATCGCAGTCAAACACTCTAAGCGCACGCTCCTAAATGTGGAGGGAACCCCGAAGGACCCGGAGAACAATCCACGCACCCACGGGGAGAGAGAGAGAGAGAGAGACGCAAACTGCAAATCCACAGCAGGTCACGTGGTCTCGTCGCCGTGGCGCCTCGTCACGGACGATTGCCCGAACTTTTAATTCGGATTCTTTTTCTCTCGCCGGACCAATGGTCGATCGTCTGTCTGTCCGCGTGGTGGAGGGCCCAATGGTCGATCGTCTGTCTGTCTGTCCGCGTGGTGGAGGACCCAATGGTCGATCGTCTGTCTGTCTGCGTGGTGGAGGGCCCAATGGTCGATCGTCTGTCTGTCTGTCCGCGTGGTGGAGGGCCCAATGGTCGATCGTCTGTCTGTCTGTCCGCGTGGTGGAGGGCCCAATGGTCGATCGTCTGTCTGTCTGTCCGCGTGGTGGAGGGCCCAATGGTCGATCGTCTGTCTGTCTGTATGCGTGGTGGAGGGCCCAATGGTCGATCGTCTGTCTGTCCGCGTGGTGGAGGGCCCAATGGTCGATCGTCTGTCTGTCTGTCCGCGTGGTGGAGGGCCCAATGGTCGATCGTCTGTCTGTCCGCGTGGTGGAGGGCCCAATGGTCGATCGTCTGTCTGTCTGTCCGCGTGGTGGAGGGCCACGTGGTGGAGTCCCGGCGCCGGGCTCAGCATTTCGCGGCCTGGCCTCCGCGCCACCGCAGTGTCGCCAAGAGGACGATCGCCACGATCAGCAGGAATGCCAGCACCGCCACCACGATGATGAACATGTTCCTCTCTGCGATCACACACAAACAACAAAGATCCCCCATATCGTCTCGACATACATTTTGGGGCAAGTGCTTTAGTGAGTAGCACCTACGAGCTCCGGAACGGTACACGAGTGGGTGGGTGGCCAGCGCCATGCCCGACCGCCTTTGTCTCCCCAGTGGCAATGTTTACACACCGCGCCAGGTACTCATTTGAGGCTGAGTCGACCTGGGGAAGGCCAATGACCGGTTCAGACAATCGTCACTGATGTTGGCCGTGAGCGGGAATCGAACCCGGGTCGCCAGGTTCATAGCGCAACACGCTAACTGCTACAATAAACTAAACTATGTTTTTATTTTACCAGGTAAGGCCCGCAGAGTCACATAGCTTTATTTCAGAAGCGACCTGGCCACAAACGATAGCTCAACCAAGTGGCTCATCACTTGGAAATGTATAGCGGCCAAATTAATCTAAACGTGTTTCTAAATGCGGAGGGAAAAGCGGGGGGACGCGGATAAAATCCACGCGGCCACAGGGAGAACATCACGCAAACTCCACATATACAGCAGGGGTCAGGGTAAGGATCGAACCCACGACCTCCTGTATACCAGGCGAGGTAGTTAACATTTCACAGCCACCACAGAAACCCGCGCCAGCGCCCATAACTGGAGTCGAACCGATCTCTTTCTCTGGCCGGGACGCGGCGTGCACCATGACGTGGCAGAACTCGGCTCCCACCGGGTTCCGCGCCGTGCACATGTAGGTGGAGTTACGATCCGCAGGTGAGACGGACCGCTCGCAAACGCTCGATCCTAGACACGGACACACATACGCATGGATCACACTTGGCACACCCCCATTGATTCATCCTACTCACGGCACAACCAGAGCCGTCCCTCGGGTACGGCAAATCAGGGCAACCGCCCCAGGCCCCGCACTTGGGAGGGCCCCGCACTTGGGAGGGCCCCGCACTTGGGAGAGCCCCGCACTTGGGAGGGCCCCGCACTTGGGAGGGCCCCGCACTTGGGAGGGCCCCGCACTTGGGAGGGCCCCGCACTTGGGAGAGCCCCGCACTTGGGAGGGCCCCGCACTTGGGAGGGCCCCGCACTTGGGAGGGCCCCGCACTTGGGAGGGCCCCGCACTTGGGAGGGCCCCGCACTTGGGAGGGCCCCGCACTTGGGAGGGCCCCGCGCTCCGACGTCACGTGTCAGATGCAAAACCTCCGGTTTAGTTTGAAGGCGCCGAGGGGCTCACACGGGGTGATTTGCCCCGGGCCCCGCATCCCCCCCCCCCCCCCCTATGGACGGCCCTACCCTGGTCCACTGTCAAATTGTCTTTAGAACAATGAAACGTGCAGCGACCCCAGTGGACAATGAGCTCTCGAGTTAGGTCAGTGCCCGACACCTTCGGGCTGCGACCTCATCAGCTACGCGCCTTCGGCCAGTGCACCTGAAGTCAGCAGCGCTGGTTCAAGACGAGCAAGCTGTGGAACCCCCATACATGATGATCCACAACGCCCCATGCCTGGGCTCGAACCTGCACTTTCATGATTTGATGGTGGGGGGGAAGGGGGGGCTCTTAACCTCGTAATCCCCCCTCCCCCACTCACCTGGTTTACAAGTGTACGGCTCTTCACCCCCATTTGTACGCTGCCACGAGTAGGAGACGGGGGGGTTCCCGGTGGAGCCTCTGCACTCCAGGGTGACCTCCATCGCTGCCGCCACTTCCTCGCCGTCTTCCCGCTTGAGCGTGGCACACGAGGGGCGGGTGGGGTACTCTGTGGGGGGATGTTGATATCGAGAATGATTGATCAAGCGGATGGTGGTGATGATAACGATGATGATGTTGACAATGGTGATAAATAATGGTGATGGAATGGATTGAGATTATTGATGTGATAATGATCATGATGGTGATGATGATAATGTTAAAGTGGATGATGATAATGAAATGGTGGTCATGATGCGACATGGTGATGAAGTGAATCAAGGCCGTAATTATACTATATATTGGGATAGACACATCCCCCCCCAATATTCAAATATGCTCAAAATGTCCCCCCCCCCCTCCAATATATTGCTATCAAAAAATATATTTTTTTTAATTGCTATGCTATGTAAATAAAAACAATTTGCTAAACCTGAGCCACAATATCTGGACTTCATATAACAATTCATAGATTTCTGTTCATATTATTGTGGTTATGGTTGTACTTTATGAATCCCTAATCTCTGCCATTATATACAATGAAACAAGAAAAGGTAAAAAAGATCAAAGAGAGAAATGTAATACAATACACTCTTAGACATTATTGTAAAAAATAAATAAAAAGTCTATCCCATATGTTAGAGATTTTTTTTAATATTTTAGGCAAGAAATTAGTTTTCAAATGTAGATTTTTTTTCTGGGGGGGGACCCCTAGACCCCCTGTAAGATTTGATCCCCCCCAATGTTGACTGCATGGCTACGGCCTTGAAGTGAATTATAATGATGGTCGTGATGATCGTGATGAGGATGGTGATACATGAAAACGATGGCTGTGATGATAAAGTGCAGGATGATGATGAAGTTGAGGATGACGATGCTGCTGCTGCTGCCAGTGTTCACCAAACACGGAGAGGCTGCTGCCCGTCTCCACGGGGATGGAGTCTGCGCGGGACAAGACGAAGCACAAGTAGCTGCCCGCGTCTCTCGCCGCCTCCACGGCGAGCAGCTCCATGGAGCCGCCTTGACCCCACGAGAAGCCGCGGGGGGGACGGGTGGAGGCGCTCGGGGTGCGGGCCGCGATCTCAGCACACAAAGACAAAGGTCGCCCGTGTGGCCTCACCACGTACACTCACTAACTCACCATGTACACACACTAACTCACCATGTACACTCACCATGTACACCCACCATGTACACACACTAACTCACCATGTACACTCACCATTACACTCACCATGTACACACACTAACTCACCATGTACACACACTAACTCACCATGTACACTCACCATTACACTCACCATGTACACACACCATGTACACTCACCATGTACACACACCATGTACACTCACACTAACTCACCATGTACACTCACACTAACTCACCATGTACACTCACACTAACTCACCATGTACACACACTAACTCACCATGTACACTCACACTAACTCACCATGTACACTCACTAACTCACCATGTACACACTAACTCACCATGTACACTCACTAACTCACCATGTACACTCACTAACTCACCATGTACACACACTAACTCACCATGTACACTCACCATGTACACTCACCATGTACACACACTAACTCACCATGTACACTCACCATTACACTCACCATGTACACACACCATGTACACTCACCATGTACACACACCATGTACACTCACACTAACTCACCATGTACACTCACACTAACTCACCATGTACACTCACACTAACTCACCATGTACACACACTAACTCACCATGTACACTCACACTAACTCACCATGTACACTCACTAACTCACCATGTACACACTAACTCACCATGTACACTCACTAACTCACCATGTACACTCACTAACTCACCATGTACACACACTAACTCACCATGTACACACTAACTCACCATGTAACACACTAACTCACCATGTACACTCACACTAACTCACCATGTACACACACTAACTCACCATGTACACTCACTAACTCACCATGTACACACACTAACTCACCATGTACACACACTAACTCACCATGTACACTCACACTAACTCACCATGTACACTCACCATGTACACTCACACTAACTCACCATGTACACACACTAACTCACCATGTACACTCACACTAACTCACCGCGTACACTCACTAACTCACCATGTACACACTAACTCACCATGTACACACACTAACTCACCATGTACACACACTAACTCACCATGTACACACACTAACTCACCATGTACACTCACTAACTCACCATGTACACTCACACTAACTCACCATGTACACACACTAACTCACCATGTACACACACTAACTCATCATGTACACACACACTAACTCACCATGTACACACACTAACTCACCATGTACACTCACTAACTCACCATGTACACTCACTAACTCACCATGTACAAACTAACTCACCATGTACACTCACTAACTCACCATGTACACTCACCATGTACACTAACTCACCATGTACACTCACACTAACTCACCATGTACACTCACTAACTCACCATGTACACACACTAACTCACCATGTACAAACTAACTCACCATGTACACTCACTAACTCACCATGTACACTCACTAACTCACCATGTACAAACTAACTCACCATGTACACACACTAACTCACCATGTACACACACACTAACTCACCATGTACACTCACTAACTCACCATGTACACACACACTAACTCACCATGTACACACTAACTCACCATGTACACTCACTAACTCACCATGGACACTCACTAACTCACCATGTACACTCACTAACTCACCATGTACACTCACACTAACTCACCATGTACACTCACACTAACTCACCATGTACACACTAACTCACCATTACTCACTGTTTACTTCGGGGCCATCCATAAATGACGTCACGCGATTTTGGATGACTTTTGACCCCCCCCCCCCTTGTCACACGGCGTCACAAAAAGTCAGCCCCCCCCCCTCAAATATGACATCACAAAGCTCTACCCCCCCCAAAAAAAATAAAACATGCTTCAAATCGCTTTAAACTACAGTATTGTCATTGTAGTGCGTATTTAATGTGGCCCTGCACTCGGATGTTGTAGGAGAAAACATTGATTGAAAAGTCTAAGTAGAACGTGTAGTCTATATTTATTTAAAGTTGTGCATTTTGATGTGACATCACATTTCTCAACCCCCCCCCCCCCCCTCGTCGCACATCGCCACAAATTTCTGACCCCCCCAGGTTCGTGACGTTATTTATGGACAGCCCCTTACTATGTACACTGACTATGTACACTCACCATGTACATACACTCACCATGTACATACACACACAACGATGACTATAATTAATACAAACACGTGTATTTTACCAGGCAAGGCCCACTGAGCAACGCAGCTCTTGTCAAGAAGCGACCTGGTCACAGATGACAGCTCAACGAAGTGGCTTATTACGTGGACATGTCTAGCAGTAGGCAAACACTCTTAACGCGTGGTGATGTTGATTTACATGTGCAGGGCAAAACCGGAGGACCCGGAGAAAAATTCACGCGATCACAGGCGGAGACGCACAAACTCCCAATACACAGCAGCAACAGCAGCAGGCGTCAGGGTCGGGATCGAACCTACGGCCTCTTGCACACCCGGCGAGGTAGTCAACATCTCACACATGTGAACTCACCACGCTCCAGCTTCCGTCCGCGCCCTGGCGTCTCCACTGGGTGAGGAAGGGGGGGGGCCCCTCCCCGAGCCCCCCACCGCACGGCAGGGTCGCCTTATCGCCCGGGCGCGCCCACAGCTGTACCTGCTGCTGCTGGGCTGGTGGGGGGGAGAGGAGAACAGGTGAGACATGATGGGCTGGGTGGACTTGAGTGGAGCTGGGAGGAGTTGAGTGGAGCTGGGTGGACTTGAGTGGAGTTGAGTGGAGTTGGACCAACGTTAGCTGCGACTGTCGGCTGCCAGGTGACAGACAACGACCCCTTCTGAGCCACCGCGAGTGGCATCAACACAGATGTGTTGTACTGAGAGTGCGACTGAAAACCACGGCATGTACACCGATTGATCTATGATTGTACACCGATAGATCTATGATTATAGACCGATAGATCTATGATTGAAGGCGGACCGGGATCATAATACAATATAGAGGCGAGCAAGAGCATGGTGATTGTATACAGCAGAGAGGGGCGTTTCGACCAGTGCGTATGGCCCCCTATGAGTATTGGGGTTAGAGAGCACGCAAGTCGAGGGGCATCACGCGCACTGCTGAGAAACAAACGAAGTGGGTTCGGGAGGGACATGTTGGTGGCACGGTGGTCGAGGCTAACAACGCAACAGCGGCCATCAGGAGGGAACTCGCCGGCGGGTCAGCGTCGGCGCGTGCACCGTCTCGTGCGAGAAGGGGATGGACGGAAGCGCTCCGAGTCAGAGAGAGAGACATGGCGGCCGCTGAAGCGCACGCGGCACGGTGAGCCGCGTGCGCTGATTGGAAAGTCGCCCTCCTCTGCCCCAAGCTCAACCACGCGCATCCACACTCAGAGTGACGTCTCGTGGCAGAGGGGTGGTGAGAGAGGGGAGAGGGGAGGGGGGTGGTGGGAGAGGGGTGATGGGAGAGGGGAGAGGGGTGATGGGAGAGGGGTGATGGGTGATGGGAGGGGGGTGATGGGAGAGGGGTGATGGGAGGGGGATGATGGGAGAGGGGAGGGGGGTGATGGTAGAGGGGTGATGGGAGAGGGGAGAAGGTGATGGGAGGGGGGAGAGGGGTGATGGGAGGGGGGAGAGGGGTGATGGGAGAGGGGTGATGGGAGAGGGGAGAGGGTGATGGGAGGGGGGAGAGGGGTGATGGGAGAGGGGTGATGGGAGAGGGGAGAGGGTGATGGGAGGGGGGAGAAGGTGATGGGAGGGGGGAGAGGGGTGATGGGAGGGGGGAGAGGGGTGATGGGAGGGGGGAGAGGGGTGATGGGAGGGGGGTGATGGGAGAGGGGAGGGGGTGATGGGAGAGGGGAGAGGGTGATGGGAGGGGGGAGAGGGGTTTTGGGAGGGGGGTTATGGGAGGGGGGAGAGGGGTGATGGGAGGGGGGTGATGGTAGAGGGGTGATGGGAGGGGGGAGAGGAGTGATGGGAGATGGGAGGGGGGTGATGGGAGAGGGATGATGGGAGGGGGGAGAGGGGTGATGGGAGAGGGGAGGGGGGTGTTGGGAGAGGGGTGATGGGAGGGGGAGGTCTCGTTTGGGGGGCATGGGGGATCGCGGGGCCCGCACCTGACGCCGTATCCACCACGAGCAGCAGCGCACACAAGTTGCTCCCTAGAGCCACCACCGCCACCACCACCGCCATCATCGCCGCCATCAGCTCGACTCCACCTCGACGAACTGCGGAGCGAGTCGCACTGCTCAAACTTTCATACTTTAATGCTGACTGCACTCGCTGGGGGGCGGGGGGAGTGTTGAGATTTGTGGTGGGAGGGGTACATTTTTGTTTCCGAAAATTGATGTCTCTGTTGTTGCGTTCGCTCCTGTTTCACTTCTCAACATCCGCGGGGTTTTCCACATTGCGACACGTGATGTTTGTTGCTGCCCGCCTGACGTGTTTAGCCTCTAGGGCCCAGTGGCTCAGCAACCGCGCCGATACAAGTGTAGTGGTGATACGCGCTGGCAGTAAGGGATCGTGTGGCAGCGCGTGGTGATTGGTCAACTAGAGTGGGTGCTCACATCGCGGTCCGCATAGGCTCCGCCCCCTCGGGAGCGGAGGACTATGAAAGGCGATGCGCGCGGGCGCTCGGGGAGTGGGTGACCAGTGAAGACGGAAGACGGAGGAGGAAGAGATAGGGCCCTGAGACCCCTAGCCCCGCTGTCCTTGTAAGGGCCGGGACCCTGTGCGGCTCAGAGGCGGGACCTTGGGACCCGCGGCCGGACGTCCTTGTGAGGGCCGGGCTGCGGGACCCAGTGGTCGTGACCCATACCCCAGCCGGGGTGGGTCTGTGAGTTCCCCTGGAAGCTACGGGGCTGGAGAGCCCGTGTGTGTGTAGCCGGGTAGAACGCGTAGTGTAGGCTGTAGTTGGCCACACGTGTTATTGTGGCTAAAGAAAGTGTTAATAAAGTGTGCTACCCGTCAAGTGGTCTCCCGCCGTAATTTACAATATTACACAACCAACAACGCCCTCTCGTTAGCCGGCTCGCCAACACAGAATACGTGCACCATTCATTACGTAGACGCAGTGCAGGGGCGCAGACGGTGCGGGTGCAGAAACAGCACGTGGCCCAGTGGTCACGAGGGGTAGTCACGGAAGGGGAACCATCTGGGAAGTTCGGCAACGGGCTCGAGGGTTCGAAAAAGGGGGCGTGGCCGGGGGCGGGGTGAGGGCCCCGCCGGGAATAAAAGGAGGTGAGAGGCGAGGTTCGGGGCTGCTGTGGGATCGGGGTCGACTGTCTTCACGTCGCCGCTGTCTTCACGTCGCCGCGACTTGCGTGCCATCCCTGGCCCAAGTGATCTGTGCGCTATCCCTGGCCCAAGTTCAAGTTATCTGCGTGAAACGCCCTAAATAATAAATAAACCTCGACAGTTCAGGTTGTCTGAGAGTCACTACAATTACACACCACAAGCTAATACTTATTAAGCCTGAGTCGACCTAGAGGAGGGCCAGCACCGGGTTTTAATACCACTCGCCGCCGACGCGAGCCGAGGATGGGAGGTGAACTGAGGTTGATGGCAGGTTGATGGGAGGTCGATGGGAGGTCGATGGGAGGTCGATGCTGCTCCTTCACCCTCCATGGGCTCTGTGCCTCCACCTGCGCGCAGCAGCAGCAGCAGGTCGCTGCTGCTGCTGCTGCTGCTGCAGCTGCTGCTGCTGCTGGCATGACGAGAGGGCTTCAGCAGAGAGAGACTTCGTGTCGTGGCGCAGTTCCTCCTCCTCCTCCGTTGAAGGAACACAGCAGACCCCAGCGGGTTTCACTTTGCGGTCCGTGGTGCGGGTTGCGTGGCCACAATCGAGCCACTGTGGCGCGTCTTTAACGTCTCCCTCTGCATCTCTGTGAGTCTCTCTGTACATTATCTCTACGAGTGTCTCGGGGGGGGGGCACTCATCCACCACGACCACTCATCCACCACGACCGCTCATCCACCACGACCGCTCATCCACCACGACCACTCATCCACCACGACCGCTCATCCACCACGACCACTCATTCACCACCACCACTCATCCACCACGACGACTCATCCACCACCACCACCACTCATCCACCACCACCACTCATCCACCACGACCACTCATCCACCACGACCACTTATCCACCACGGCGTGCCCACTTACACGGGCGGGGGGCCACAAGAGATCCAAACAAACACGTGACGTAGTGTGCATGTACAGGCGACGTTTCGGACAATGGTCATTGTTCATGTGCTGAAAACAATCTGAGCAACGTTTCGGGATATGGCCCTTCATCAGCACGAAGGATCATCGACCCGATACGTCGAAGACAAAGGCAGCCGTGCGTTTATTCGCCGCACCACCCCCTCGTGTGCCGTGCTGGACTTCATAGGGGCTCGCTAACAGCACTTACCCCAACATTCTATGAAGGCTACACGGGGCATCTGTCATGATTGAGTGTTGGCGATGTCACCTGGTGCCCTGGGCTCCCTTGCCAACGAGATGTCCCATTCTGTCTATTGAAGAAGGTCGCTCCACACGCTGCAGAAGGCCCAGCAGCTGATTGGCTCGCAACGTGGGGAACACGTGACTGGGCTCTCTCGGGGGGGAGGTGCGAGATGTGCAAATGAGCTGCAGATGCGCGACACCCGGGGAGAGACAAAGGCGGCCGGGCGTGGTTCTGACCACCCCACCTTGCGTCATCAGACGACTGCAGACCATCACACATCATCACACCGACGCGCCGACACACACCAACTCATTATCACAAGCCCAAACCAACACGCATCAACATCTCCGCTGCTACACACGAACGCACAGCACGAGCCCATCCATCACCTTACGACCCCAGGCTGAGTCGACATAGGGCAGCCCCAGGGCCGGGTCAGATAATCCTCATTTGTGGTGGCCGTGAGCGGGAATGGAACTCGGGGTTCGTAGCGCAGCACGCGAACCGCTACACCACCGCCCATCACACAAAGACAAAGATCCCCCGTGTAGCCTTAACATTCTGTTGGGACAAGTGATGTTAGCGAGCCCCCCCCCCCGCTCTCGACCCAGCTAATTGTATGCCCCTCGCCCCGCCTGCTCCGCCCGTCCCCCCGGGTGAGATATTTGATCGGCTGGACGAGGACGCTTTCGTGCATCCTCGGAACCATTTACTACGCCAGCGGCACAAAACCCGGATCGCGGAGCCCCGAGTGTGGAGCCTGGATCACGAAACCTGCAGCAGCCTGTACGGAGTGAGAGTCCCAGGAGTGTGGAACAGGGGGTCTGAAACACGGAATCCGGAGCTCGGAATTTGGATTCTGGAACCCAAGACCCTGAGCATGGATCATCGATCTCAGAGCTTGGATATAAAACTCGGAACACGGAGCATTGATTCTGCAACATAAAATCAGGAACCCGGATCGTGGATCCTGGAGCAGAAAACTCCGAGTCCGTAGTTCACAGCATAACGTTCAAAACCCGGATTATAGAGAAGTCTGCAGCGATGGGCTCTGAAGCTCGGAACGCAAAACGAGGAGCGCGGACTTCGGACCGGGCGTGAGCGAGACGCGGGAGCCGCAGCGAGGAGGGAGGTGAGCACTGCTGGCGCAGTGGAAGGCACCACCACCACCATCACCACCATCACCGCGGCTGTCATTACCACTATCACCACCATCACCACCATCACCACGGCTGTCATCACCATCATCACCACGGCTGTCATCACCACCATCACCACGGCTGTCATCACCACCATCATCACGGCTGTCATTACCACTATCACCACCATCACCACCATCACCACGGCTGTCATCACCACTATCACCACCATCACCACCATCACCACGGCTGTCATCACCACCATCACCGCGGCTCTGCTCATCGCCGGGAACTGCACACGCATCATCAGCTCCTGCGGTACGGATCGACGGTGATGATGGTTGGCGATGTTGATGATGGTTGGCGATGTTGATGATGGTTGGCGATGTTGATGATGGGCGTGATGATGGTGACGACATTGGTGATGATCGCGATGATGGTGGTGGGGTTGATGTAATTATTGATTTCCTGCGCGCGAGACTCGGACAGCGGCGCGTGAGTGGAAAGCGCGAGTTGCAGATGATGATGGGTTGATGGTGATGATGGGTTGATGGTGATGTTGTTATGGTGATGTTGTTATGGTGATGAGGCTGTCGTGATGGTGATACTATGGTGACGTTGCTGTGGTAATGTTGCTATGGTGACTGGTTGATGTCGATTTTGCTGTGGTGATGGGATTGTGGTGATGGTGGTAGTGATGGCGAGTGTTATTGCGATGATGTGTTGGTGGTGTAGAAATTATAAATGATGATGCCAGGTGAATGTTGATGATGATTTGAGGTGGTGATGTGATTGATACCGCGCTAATCACGATGGTGATGTTGATGATGAAAGCGATTACCATAAAATAAAATACGGTGAAAGAACTGGTTGTATAATATGGTGATGATGATGGCGATGATGTTTATGATGTGGTGATTATGAGGTAACTTTGCTGATCACGGAGATGATGCTCATGATTATGATATTTACGAAAAAGCTGATGAAGCTGATGATGGTGATGATGCGAATAACATCAGAGATGATCATAATCGTAATCCGGTGATAATGAAGCTGCTGCTGATAAAACTGCTGGTAATTAAGCTGAACCTGCTGATGATGCTGGTGGTGGTGGTGATGGAGCTGATGCTGCTGATGCTGGTGGTGGTGGTGATGATGAACCTGCTGATGATGATGCTGCTGGTGGTGATGATGATGGAGCTGCTGGTGGTGGTGATGGAGCTGATGCTAATGATGCTGCTGGTGATGATGGAGCTGATGATGATGTTGCTGGTGGTGCTGGTGATGATGATGCTGCTGCTGGTGGTGATGATGGAGCTGATGATGCTGCTTCTGGTAGTGGTGATGATGGAGCTGATGAAGCTGGTGGTGGTGGTGATGATGGAGCTGATGCTGATGATGCTGCTACTGGTGGTGGTGATGATGATGGAGCTGATGCTGGTGGTGGTGGTGGAGCTGATGATGATGCTGCTGGTGGTGGTGGTAATGGAGCTGATACTGCTGGTGATGATGAAGCTGATGCTGCTGGTGGTGGTGGTGATGATGATGCTGATGGTGGTGGTGGAGCTGATCCTGCTGGTGGTGCTGGTGGTGGTGATGATGGAGCTGATGCTGCTGATGATGCTGCTGGTGGTGGTGATGATGGAGCTGATGCTGGTGGTGGTGGTGCTGGTGGTGGGTGATGATGGAGCTGATGCTGCTGATGATGCTGCTGGTGGTGGTGATGATGGAGCTGATGCTGGTGGTGGTGGTGCTGGTGATGGTGGTGGTGATGATGGAGCTGATGCTGATGATGCTGCTGGTGGTGGTGGTGATGATGGAGCTGATGCTGATGATGCTGCTGGTGGTGGTGATGATGGAGCTGATGCTGTTGGTGGTGGTGCTGGTGATGGTGGTGGTGATGATGGAGCTGATGCTGATGATGCTGCTGGTGGTGGTGGTGATGGAGCTGATGCTGCTGGTGGTGGTGGTGATGATGATGGCGCTAGGGGTCGGCTCGGATTGTCGAGGTCATGGCCGCGAGTCGTCCCCTCCACCCAGGCGTCTGGGTCAGCCTCCTCCTCGTCCCCACACTCCTCCTCCTCCTCCTCACGAGCGGTACGAGACACGGGGTGGTGGGGGGCACGGGAACACAGGGGACACGAGACACGGGGTGGGGGGCACGGGAACACAGGGGACACGAGACACGGGGGAGACAACGGTGGGACTGGGGAACAGAGACACGTTCGGCTGAGGGAGCGGGGAGGAGGGAGTGGAGGGTGGGGGAGAGGGGTGACGGGCCACCCGGGGGGTCAAATTTATCCGACATCAGCTTGCCTCGTTATCAACACTGAGCGCACGTTAATAAAACCGCACATATAGAATTACACACTCGACTACGCACAAAGATCCCCCGTGTAGCCTTAGCAGACTGTTGGGGCAAGTGCTGTTAGCGAGCACCTGTGGGTTGCCACGGTATACAGAAGGTCGTGGGTTCGATCCCGATCCTGACGCCTGCTGCTGCTGTGTATTTGGAGTTTGTATGTCTCTCTCCCCGTGGTCGTGTATAATTTCCCCTGGTCCTCCGGTTTTTTTCCCTCCACATTTAGAAGCACGCGTTTAGAGTAATTGGCTGATATCAATGTCCACGTGATAAGCCACTTCGTTGAGCTATTAATCGTGGCCAGGTCGCTTCTGAAAAAGGACTACATAGCTCAGCGGACCTTAACTGGTAAAATAAAACAAACTGTTTTAGTTAGGGGGTGGGTGGCCACCAGCACCACGCCTGACCGTCTTGATCTCCCCAGTAGCGATGTTTACACGCTGCACTACTCATTTGAGGCTGAGTCGACCTAGTGGAGGACCAGGACCAGTTCAGATAATCGTCACTGGTGTTGACCATGAGCGAGAATCCAAATCGGGTGGCCGGGTTTGTAGCGCCGCGTGATGACCGCTACACTACCGCTCTCCACACACACACAATTTATTAACACACACACACATGTGCGTATGTGTTAACACATGTGTGTGTTAACACACACACACACATGTGCGTATGTGTTAACAAACTCCAGCCCGAGTAAGTTTTGAACTTGGACTTAATCCGTCTTCGAGGAAATTTTCCCGACTCTCCACCAATCTCCTTCATTTCTCCTCACGGTCTCCCAATCAACCCCGTTTTTAATTAGTTTATTTTTGTCCGGGTTTTTTAAATCACCATGTTGTTGACCAATCGGATTTGAATAGTTCTCCACCTTACAACCACCTCGGCACCTGTGCTGAGGGCCACGTAACCCGAATGGCATGTGCACGAACCCATCTCCAAAGTATGATTATTTTTAAAGAAATTTGACGAAATTCTTGGGGGAATTAATAAATGGCCTCTCCCTGCAAGTTCACGACCAGGCCCCGAATATCGAGACGGTGTCTCCGTCTGTGATGCGCGCTCTGAACAGCAATCACGTGACATCGTGTCTTCGTGTCTCCCTCCGTGTCTCTCTCCGTGTCTCTCTCCGTTGTCTCCGTGTCTCTCTCCGTGTCTCCCTCCGTGTCTCCGTGTCTCTCTCCGTGTCTCCCTCCGTGTCTCCGTGTCTCTCTCCGTGTCTCTTTGTCTCTCTCCGTGTCTCCGTGTCTCATTGTCTCTCTCCGTGTGCTCCCCGTGTGTCTCCTCCGCGGGTGTCCACCTGACCCCCCCCCCCCCCCCCCCCGACAGGACACCCGGCGCTGTGCATCGAGGTGGTGTCTCCGTCTGTGATGCGCAACCTGAACGGCAGTAACGTGACGCTGCCCTGCACCCTCGTCTCGTGCTACACGATGGACTCGAAGCTCATCAACGTGCACTGGTTCTACTCCGAGAACGCGACCTCCAAGCGGATCTCCGTGAGCGTTCGCCACGCATCTACCGTAGAATCACCACGGACTATCCGTGAAACACATTTCACTTGGTTATAACGCGAGGACAACACAACAACGCCTTAAAAGATATTCGCCACTGTTATTGGTCGTGAGCAGGAATTGAACTAGGTTCTTCCCATCCCTCCATGTCTCCCCATGCCCCTTCTAACCCCCGTGTCTCCCCATGCCCCCGTGTCTCCCCATGCCCCCGTGTCTCCCCATACCCCCGTGTCTCCCCATACCCCCGTGTCTCCCCATACCCCCGTGTCTCCCCATACCCCCGTGTCTCCCCATACCCCCGTGTCTCCCCATACCCCCGTGTCTCCCCATGCCCCCGTGTCTCCCCATACCCCCGTGTCTCCCCATGCCCCCGTGTCTCCCCATACCCCCGTGTCTCCCCCATACCCCCGTGTCTCCCCATACCCCCGTGTCTCCCCATACCCCCGTGTCTCCCCATGCCCCCGTGTTTCCCCATGCCCCCGTGTCTCCCCATGCCCCGTGTCTCCCCATACCCCCGTGTCTCCCCATACCCCCGTGTCTCCCCATACCCCCGTGTCTCCCCATACCCCCGTGTCTCCCCATGCCCCCGTGTCTCCCCATACCCCCGTGTCTCCCATACCCCCGTGTCTCCCCATACCCCCGTGTCTCCCCATACCCCCGTGTCTCCCCATACCCCCGTGTCTCCCCATGCCCCCGTGTCTCCCATACCCCCGTGTCTCCCCATACCCCCGTGTCTCCCCATACCCCCGTGTCTCCCCATACCCCCGTGTCTCCCCATACCCCGTGTCTCCCCATACCCCGTGTCTCCCCATACCCCCGTGTCTCCCCATACCCCCGTGTCTCCCCATACCCCCGTGTCTCCCCATGCCCCCGTGTCTCCCCATGCCCCCGTGTCTCCCCATGCCCCCGTGTCTCCCCATGCCCCCGTGTCTCCCCATGCCCCCGTGTCTCCCCATGCCCCCGTGTCTCCCCATGCCCCCGTGTCTCCCCATACCCCCGTGTCTCCCCATGCCCCCGTGTCTCCCCATGCCCCCGTGTCTCCCCATGCCCCCGTGTCTCCCCATGCCCCCGTGTCTCCCCATGCCCCCGTGTCTCCCCATGCCCCCGTGTCTCCCCATGCCCCCGTGTCTCCCCATGCCCCCGTGTCTCCCCATGCCCTCCGCCCCGTGTGTCCCCTCTCCCCGCCCAGCTGTTCTCGATGGTGAAGGGGAGCCCGAGCTACGTGGTGTCGAGCCAGTTCCGCGGCCGCCTGGAGTGGAGCGGGGACGTGCGCCGCGGCTCCGCCTCGCTCGAGCTGCTGCGCGCGCGCATCGACGACAGCGGCGTGTACAACTGCAGCGCGCGCCACCTCACCGACAAGCGCAAGCTGGGCTTCAGCACCATGAAGCTCATCATCCTCACCGAGAGTGCGTGCCCTGCCACGCCACGGTCGTGTCGTGATGCCCCCGCCCCCCGTCCCATGTGATGATCTTATTATAACATGTGATGATCTTATCATCCAATGTGATGATCTTATTATCTACATTAGGCTTGGTTCAACAAAGCCTTAAAACTCTGGACTGGTGTCGACATTAAGAGCCTCGTAAGCAGTCCGGCTCGCTTGAAGGAATGCTGCTGAATGCCGGATGAGTGTGTCCTGTTGGCGTTCATAGGTCCTCACCGAACAGCACTTTCCCCAACAGCCTTGTCATAGATATACGGGGGACCTTTGTTTTTGCATGTGTATACGTGTGTACAGGAAGAGCGGTGGTGTAATGGTTAGCACACTGTGCTTCGACCCAAGTTTAATCCCAACTCACGATCAATAGCAGTGGCGAATTTTTGAACCGGTACTGGGCCTCTTCTCGGTCGACTCAACCTTAAACGAGTGCCTGGTGCGTTGGGTAAACATCGTCACTGGGGAGACAAAGGCGGCCGGGCGTGTTGCTGGCCACGCACCCCCTCCGTGTGCCGTTCCAGCCTTCGTAGGTGCTCGCTAACAGCACTTGCCCAACAGCCCGGATGGAGGCCATCCTGTGGACCGTTGTCTCCGCTGTGCGCAGTCCCCCGCGAGGACAAGACGCTGGTGATCCTGGTGGGGGGCTGCGTGGGGGGCGCCGTGGGCCTCGCGCTGCTCGCGTGCATCACCTGCAAGCTCGTGAACATCGCGCGGGCACGCGGCTCGCCCGACAACAAGTACGCTCCGCCTCTTCATCCTCATCAACATCATCCGTGCCCAAGCCGCTGTTGCATGGAGGCCGTTTCTCACGGTCCTGTGACGTAGCAGGGGGCGGCAGCGCCCCACGTCTCGCAGCAAGAAGGGGCCGAGGTTCGATTATGGACTAAGGCCCCTTCCCCCTTCCCGCGTGGAGTCTGTGCGACCGCACCCTGTTGCCCGCCTCTGCCCCCCCTCACCCCCCCACAGGAAGGACCCCCTCGTGAATTCCTCCCCGCAGCACCAGGCAGGGGACCGTGGCGGAATCGACACTCACGAGCAACAGGGGGAGGGAGAGCGCGGGGAGGAAGCCGGCCTGGCGGCGGGAGAGGCTGCGGGGGGCGGCAGGGGGAAGGTCTCCAGCGCCTGAACCCCTGTGGCCACCTCCCCACCCCCCAACGGCCCCCTCCACCTTTGCGAACCCCCCTCCCCCCCCCCGTTCTAATCTGTACCCCAGTCCCACACGGCAAACGCGGCCTGTCCCTGAGAGCCGCGGCGCTACACTCGGGGAAGGATTAGCGCAGGGGGTGAAGATCATACCGTTGCCCATGGGCCCAAACACGGCCCGCGACTTCATTTCATACGGCCCACGGCGGCCACAATGAGGCCTTCCACTTCCCAACAGATGTCGACCTGCCACTGCAAGGATGTTAGCCGCGCTGATGGGGTCCAGAGTGGGGAATATTTTCGATCGGGCAACAAAGCTGTTTCTGATTTTAGCTCCACACTCAGTCACCGGTTGTCTCTCGAGTATCTCTGAGCGAACACAGTGCGAGTATTTCCTAGCAGCGTCACAGCTCAGTGTCAGCCACTGTGAGATTCACCGCCAAAGGAGGAAGGCACATTGGAAAGTCGCAATCGTTTGAGGGCCACCGTTGCCGCCGGTGATTGTCACCGGCAGCAAGTTTGCCGGTGACCAACTGTGGCAACTCGGTCGGGCCGCGGCGTAGTGTGAATGTCTTGCCCATGACAGCAGAGTTTGTTGTCAGAGTGCGATCGGCAGGCCGAGCGTGCTCACGTCGCCTCTGGCTGAGATCTGATGGGCGGTTGCTCATCCCAGCTGCTGCCGATCGGAGCGAGCGGCATCGATTAGATTCGCAGATTTTGGCGACTTAAATGTTCCGCCGGGTCTGTCGGGATTGGCGACCGGAGAAATATGTACACGCCCGGCACACTGCGTCCAGTATACCTCTCGATGAGGACTGTGGATTCTGGTCACGCGATGTCTACGCCGATCTAACCAACGACCTGGGATGAGAAATGCTCGGTGGCGATCTCGCTAAACTTGCCCGTGGTGTTGCCCAGGGCCCCGGAGAGGCGCAAGCCCAAGGCCGAACTCGCAGTCGATTCGGGTGGATTGGGAAGCGGGGCAACCCAAGCCCGCACCCATGCCGGAGGCGTTGTGCCTGCATCTGATTCTTAACTGAGTCCAGACTGGAGTTGCGAGAGGGTTGGTTGCGAGGGGGTGCAGGAGGGTGGGAGTCGTTGCTGACGGGAGGCAGAGTGCAGAGAAGGTATACCCATTGCATGATGTGAGGTTTGCTCGTAGCGGCGTGAGGCGTGTGGTATAATCGCGACTGGAGTCTACACGCCGCTGACGATGCTGTTGATGATGTTGATAGTGAATAATCAGCTATGAATTTGAAATCATTCTGAAGCCCAACAAATATGAGGAAACATGCCCAGAAAAATGTTTCCTCATGTATGTTCCAGGATACGTGATTCATGCATGTTCGTTCCCAGACACGTCCCGGTAAATATGCCAACGTCAGCCCAACGTTGAATGTTTACAGATGATCCCAGATACATGTGCCCTCACGTATGTTTACAGATACATGTTTCCAGATACATGTCAACAAAATACGTTTCCTCGTGTACGTTGCCAGATACAAGTCTCCCGCCAAAATATTCATCTTGAATGTTTCCAGATTCAAGTTTCTCGCCAAAATCTTTCCTCGTGTACGCAGGATGTTTCCGTGTCGCTAGAGACGAGGCGATCCATCTCTTGACGATGTAGTCCCTTGATAATTCATTTTCCCGACAACTGTTGAGGGACATCTTTGTGTGGAATCAGACGTGTGTGTTTCCCTCGTGCACATTGGACTAAACGCGGTCACCCCATTTAATTAGAGCTGGGGGATGGAGGGGGTGTTAATTGATGACCGGACAGATGAGGGATTATCGGGATCCATATCATTTGAGGGAAGACTTTCCCCGGCCATTGGCTTGTGGTTGGGACCATTGGGACCAACTCTGGCCAACTTTGGTCACAACGGCTCCATGTTAACTAGTAACCATTTGTGGGGAGGTGTAACACACATCTGGATTGAAGATGCCCCCCACCACAAACTTCATGATGGGAGGGGGGGCAATCCATATGACGAGCCCCCCTACCAGACTGGCGACGTCGCCTGCTCATGGCTACGTGACCCTCTACAACTTCAGAATCATTCCCACACGCGCCGCGTGCTGCGCCTTCGGCCGCTGCCGCTGTCTGCGCGTCGTGCTGCGTCGCTCGTTTGATCGCCGCTCCGCTCATTTTACCCAGAGCCGGTTTTAACGTTTCACTCTGTAACTCGGAGCCGTGTTTTAAGGTTTTATCTGCACCGCTGGTTTCTATGTTTTTAATCGGAGCGAGTTTCACGCTCGTACGGCCTTCGCACGGACGAGTGCGCGTGTCTCGCACACACACCGATCGATCTCACCAGCGAGCACAGTCACCAAGCAGACACCAACACGCGTGCATCACACACATCTCACGTCCCTCCACATGGCCAACATACACACCGATTCATTGTGAGACCACCGCACATCAGCCGCACCACACGGCCCGTCCTTGTGGCAGCGCATCATTGCAACAGATGTCAACACGGAGCAACACTCGGGGCCTCCTCAGCAGTCGTGGATTGCACGAACCACTGCCGACAGCCAAGGGGCTCCCTCGGAGATGTTGGGATTCGACTCACGCGTGCCGCTGTTACACGACGTTCACGTAGACGTACATGTTCACGTACATGGCGACGTGCGCTCTATGGGTGAGAGGAGAGGATGTGCGCCTCGCAGTGTCGCTGCTGGCTACTTGGCCTCGTCAAGACGACCGCGGTCCGGATGTTTCAATCGATCGACCCCCAACCGCTGACGAGCACGTCACGGCTGGCGGGCAGCTGCAGCAGCAGCAGCATCTGCAGCAGCAGCAGCTGCAGTAGCAGCTGCAGCTGCAGTAGCAGCTACAGCAGCAGCAGCATCAGCTGCAGTAGCAGCTGCAGCTGCAGCAGCAGTAGCTGCAGCAGCAGCAGCAGCTGCAGCAGCAGCTGCAACAGCAGCAGCTGCAGCAGCAGCTCCAGCAGCAGCTGCAGCAGTAGCTGCAGCAGCTGCAGCAGCAGCTGCAGTAGCAGCAGCTGCAGCAGCTGCAGCAGCAGCAGCGGGACGACTCCTTGCCGGTGACCGTCTCCTCCACGTTCCCGCCCGCGGGACATTTGTGTTTTTTTACATTTAATTAATCTGTGGCGCTCTTCTGGAACAGATCTGCCATTCAAGTGGTAACTGTTCCACATCGAACGATTATCTGATCGATACAAATGACGTGTTCGTGTAATGTTGAGTTAGGCCAAGCAGAGTGACGAAGTTGGACAAAGAGACGAACCGACACCAGCTGGACGCGACTTGGACATGTTTTGACTTTGACGAAGGATCGCGTCCCCTGAATCTCGTGACAATTCAGCGCCACGGGGGGGAGGGGGGGCAATCCTTCCCCTCCATCCGTCTGAGACGTTGTTTTAAATTTCGCTGACATTTACCAGAGAAATTGCGTGGAATATTTTAAGTGAATTAATGTGTGTCCATATTTAAAACGCTAGATGTTAAAAAGACCGAATATTCACACAAACCCAACAGAGAGTACTTCATCATTGACACTCATTTGAGCAACAACAAAAAACAGACTTGGAACCCGGCGTTAATGTGTCCCGCACCTCTGATTCTCACGGGTAGCTACGTACGGTGCGAAAGAAGTTCATCCTACATACATACATACCGTACGTGTCGCTATGTGTCAGTATGTGGGGAGCGGTAGTGTAACAGTTAGCGCACTGCGATTCGAACCCAACAGCCCGCTTATGGCCACCACCGGTCACGAGTATCTGAACCGATCCCAGACCTCCCCTAGGCCGACTCAGACTCGAATGAGTTCCTGGTGTTATGTGTAAACATCGCCACTAGGGAGACAAAGGCGGTCGGGCGTGGTGCTGGCCACCCATCCCCTCGTGTGCAGTGCCTGCCTTCATAGCTGCTCGCTAACAGCACTTACCCCAAAAGTCTGTTGAGGCTATACGGGGGATCTTTGTCTTTGTGTAAGCGTCGGTGCGTTTGTCTCGTGTCAGTGTGTCGGTGACTCAGTGATAACACACGGGCACATCAAACAGAGGCTCTGTGACTTGCCAAAACCCACCACCACTATGATTATCATCACCATCATCGCAATGACTGTCATAATATCGATCAGCAAACACCACCATTACATTTATCAACATGCTTATATTGATGGATATATTGATCAGCATGACTGCAATCACCATCATCACATCAATCACCACCATCATCTTTCACATCAATATTATCATCACCACCATCGTCATCATAACATGAATATGATCATCATCATCACATCAATATGTAATGATAATGATGGTCATAAGCGCCACGATCATTATCATCACAATGCTTGCCATCATCATCACCAACATCAACCTCATCACCACCACCATCGCTTACTCTGCACCGTTTATTGAACGCTTTGTAGTTGTGTGAGCTTGGAGCGATCATAACGCGACAAATAAACCCAATTAAACCCACACGGTGCATTGCCTCGCATCAACGCGAGTTTCACGAGTGGCTCATCTGGTGGAGCGAGTGGCTCGCAGTCGGAAGGTTGCGAATTTAAATCCTGTTTGACACAGCCCTCATCATTCCTCGCTCCGGGGACGATAAAATTGGTACCACTCTGTGGGTGTCCCATCCATACACTTGGCCCCCACCATACGGATATAGAATTACCACCACTGGCCCCCAGGGCTGCTGAACTTAGCAGGACATCTACAAGACTGTTGCTGCATGCACACGATCATCGTCACAAGCAGGAACCACAGTTCATGCAAAATACCTCCACCCCCACCCCGCCAAGCTCCGCTGTCCTCCACATATGAAGGTGTTATTGTTGGGCAATACAAGTGTGAGGAGGAGTCTCGTCGTTAAGGCGCGTGCGAGGTGCTGTGTCGTGGGGAGCGGCGGGGACGTCCCGGCCACCAGCGGGCGCTGTTCTCTCAGAGACCCTGAGGCTGCTGGCAAGTCCCTCTGGCCGAACGTGTCTCTGCTTGAACTCAGTGCCGGGTTACGCCGAGTGCCCGGGGCCTGTAGCATATGATGTTATAAAGGGGCCCTACATTGAAAAAACACACATCAATATTAAAACACACATATTTACAGTGCATCGTAAAGGGTTTTTTTCATTTGCTATACAGCCAGATAATACGAACAATCGCGAACCTTAAAAACGCAGTCGTTTATAAAAGCTGAAGGCGGTATAGTATTATAGTAATAGAGCAAGTGCAGAATCACTGAACTGGAATTGAGAACTGGAAATAATTTAACGCGGGCACCTTGAAAGTGCGGGTAGCTACTACACGTGTGGCTACTACATATATGTAGTAGCTACACATGTGTTTATTTTGCCCGCATTGTACTGTAATATATTAATGACCGGCGCGGTAAAGTACGGTGAGACCAGACACCTAGCGGTGTTGTGACAGACAGGCAGGTACATGCGCACGTGTTGCAATTCAAGCAGCCGCCACTCCGCACGCGGCCCGCACGTGGCAGTGAGTCCACACACCCGTGGCGTGTGGATCGAGACGGGATCCTCTTGTCCAGGCTGAGGCAGCGGTGACCGCTCCCGAATTCTATCCACCCCCCCATCACGTGAAAATGGGAGATTCTAAAACACTTCGCGTTGAAGGTAGATGGGGGGCGGGGACTCCAATTCAATCCATTTTTGTCCGGGGGGGGGGGGGGGGGGAGTTGTTCCACTTGGTCTCGATGGAGCGGCGGTGGCACCTCCCACACTGCAATTCCCTCCCCATCGTATCAGATTGGTAGATTCTAAATCGCTTCGCACTGAGGGAAGATGGGGCAGTCGATTGCCCTAAACGGGGGTTGTTCCATTTGATCTGAGCGGGGTAGTGGTGACCGCACCCACTGCCACAACACCCCCAGAATGTCGAACATAGACAGCCCCAGACAGTGGCAGCTGCGGGGGGTGGGGGAGTCCATCCACACCGGAGGGGGGATTCCACTTCGGCCGGAATGACCCAATCCACATTCCAATGGCGTGTACGGGCAGATGTCTCAGGCACGAGCACAGCAACAACGCAATTACAGCACTCGCATACACAGCACACGTGTACAGTACACACATACACCCTGGAGTTACATTGAACAAGCAGCTCACAGACAACACAATCACAGAGCACACACGTGTGTGTAGGTACAGCAGGACACACACACACGTGTGTGTGTGTACAGCAGGACACACACACACGTGTGTGTGTACAGCAGGACACACACACACGTGTGTGTGTACAGCAGGACACACACACGTGTGTGTGTACAGCAGAACACACACACGTGCGTGTGTACAGCAGGACACACACACGTGTGTGTGTACAGCAGGACACACACACGTGTGTGTGTACAGCAGAACACACACACGTGTGTGTGTACAGCAGGACACACACACGTGTGTGTGTACAGCAGAACACACACGTGTGTGTGTACAGCAGGACACACACACGTGTGTGTGTGTACAGCAGGACACACACACACGTGTGTGTACAGCAGGACACACACGTGTGTGTACAGCAGAACACACACACGTGTGTGTACAGCAGGACACGCAACACTCGCAGATGCACTCACATTTGCAATAAAGCACCGCACGCATACACGGAGTGCACAAAGCACAACACAGATGCACGGCACGTGCAGTGCGCACGCAGTGCTCACACCGCCTGCAAGTAAATATGCCAACGTTGGCTCAACGTTGGCATTTGGTTGTCCCAACTCGAAAGTTTCCACAACTCCACCGAGCCCCAAGGAGCCGCAGCTGTCGTGCGGGAGACGGAGAGGTCACGCCTCATCGGCTGAGGGGGGCGGGTATTAATTAGATAATTAGTGGCGCGTCTAGCCAATTAGTGGAGCGGGTGGCGTGATTGATGACACATTCCGCGGCGTTAATTCCGACTTGGTGTGGGATCATGATCACCATCACCCAGCAAAATGCCAACGTAGAGCCAACGTCGGCACGTTTACTGGGTGATGGCCATCATTGTTGAGCACCACACACTCAGCATCATCAAACGTTGATCATCGCCATGTAATGACCATTAACAGATGTGATTCACGTGGTGAACTATGGCCCGAAACGTCGCCTCGGTGTTTTCGCTTTCCAAGGCCACAGTGTTATTACTGACGAGTGTGTCGAGGGGTTTTTTGTAGTTTGTGCACCGCTGCCAATGTGGCAGCAGCATCAACACCGAATTATTTTTAATTTGCATTCCTGGGATCAGTTCTTATTGTAATTGCGTCACGCACAGTGAACTGACGTCATTGTGGATAACTTCACTCGAATGGAAATTTCGATTTAAAGCTTTCGTGACTGCAGGGATTCATCTTATTGGTTCTTTCGGTAAAGTCACGTAGAAGGGAAGTAATAAAAGAATAAAAATAATTTTATTATGTTTTATTTTGATTATTTTATTACTTCCCTTCTACGTGACTTTACCGAAAGAACCAATAAGTCGAATGGAAATGTAATTTAATCTCCCGACGCTGCCGTGATTGTAATCACAGGTGTGATCGTTAGGGTCATCCCGTCGTCATCACCACCACCACCATCAGTGGCGGGTGCTCGGCATCGCGAGGCAATAAAGCAATAAAGGTTTCAGGGGCCAGGTTCAAGATTTCAGATCGTCATAAACATGTTGTGGACAACAACGTGAACGCTCTCCTGTCATGAACCTCAGCGTCTCGTCGACGTCTCTTCTTTACTCGCACGACATCGCCGTCTGTTGTCTACGACGCTTCTCACGAATCATCTCTCGTCGAGATATGTCGACACTTCTACGGAACCTCTGCCTCATCTGCATCTCTCGTCTCCCATCTCAGGATGCTTTTTGTCCACATCTCCCCCTCTTCTGTTTTCTCAGAGTCAACGGCTCCGATTGTCCCCCACAAATAAGTAATTTATTCATAGCCCCCCCCCCCCCAACGGCCGAGCACCACCACCACCAGGCCGTGGGGAGGCTGTCGGCAAATCTGATGAGACGCTCATTAACCGATCCCCATTGTCTTGCTGGTTCATTCATTAAACCACCTTGGGATTAATATAAACACCAGCGAGCTTTATTGCAACGCAGTGATTCACGTGGCAAAATCCTCGCACTGTTCCCGATAGGATCAGAGTTAATTGGTTGTACCCCTGTCATTAATTCGTTTACGTCCCTTTGTTCATGAAATTAGTTGTGGATTAGAGTTTTGAGTTGAACAATGACCCATATCTAACACAGAGAGACCCCCCACCCCCTTTCCTAATAAACATCAGGCAGCTCGCCAGCATGGGCTCAAGGAAGCCCGACTCTGTTGACGAGACACTGAGGATTGAAACCGGTCGAACGTTTTGCTTGTGAACCGAGACCGGTGAAATGATGGGCCCCGAGGAAGCTGTGCGGCTGATGGGACGTGAACAACTTACTTTGTATTATGGGGACAGGTTTGGGTAGGCGGGCGACTGGCCTGCTCGTTACCGATATTGTCCACTGCTGGATGAAGCCTTCTCACCTATGACGACAAATCACCAGGACGTGGTGCCAAGCCGTTCATTTTAATGGCTGTAAATATTAATCATGTAGAGTAGTGAACATTGCATGATGCACCGAGTGGGTGAGATCGATAAACTCACAGCTTGGCGGTTTGACACACCTGACAACTGGAGTGTTGCCATAATCATGATCCGTCTATCAACTGAAGCATGACACCCTCCCTCCCCATGCCATCAGCATCTCTCACAGTATCATTATGCAACAATCCACTTTGCTCTGACACACAAGCAGATGTAATCGCTCCATCTCCGCGGTGGTCGTTCACCCCTGGGCGTGTAGCCTCCTCTGCCTGGCACTCGTCGTTAGTCTCGATCACCGGCCATCGTTCTTTGAAGCCGTGACACGTCCTGCCCGAACCCACTCACCTTTCTTTAACAATGTGATGAAGTCTACATAACTTGTGAATGTTCGCTAATCCATGTATTCTTCTTCTTCCCGTCTGTCAGCATAAATTCAAACGCACAGTCCACCGAGCACCTTCGCACGAGCCGATCTCATCGTCCTGTTGTGTTCTTTATGCTGGCGTACGTAAAATATAACAAGCGTTTACAACTCCAGTCAAATTTAGCATAAAATATATATTTTATTGGAAGACAAACAGGCGTCAAATCATCTCAGGAACACAAGGGACAGACTGACTGCCGCTAAGACACCAAACCCAGACCCTCCAATCATCAGCAGACACCCACAGCTCGAGCACTCCAGGGTTAGGGATAGGTCCATGCGGAGGGTCGCGAGGAGATTGGTCGAAGCTGGAGGTTTTCCCCCGTGAGGTGAAGGAAAGACATTGACGGGTCCCCACCGAGGGCGAGGTGAGGGTCGCGTCGCCATCGTTTACATGATAGATCAGACCCGGACATGTTGCTCAGCCTGGGTCTGTCAAAACCGTTCACAAAACCGTAACAAGTTGAACACAGTACCACCACATTTCGGTACAAACAAATTCCCGCCACCCAAAAACAGATGCCAATTCCGAGACAGGTGGCAATCCCTCGCGTGGTGACCCAGAGGTCATCAGGGTGGACAGCAGCAGGCCGCCATCCTCCCTACTTCCCGACGGGAGAGCCTAGGCCTTCGCGAGCGTTGCCACTTCTGTAGTACAAAAAGAATGGGGCATCTTGTGGGAAGAATCTCTCACCACACTGGCAGAGGGGAGAACTCTGTGTGAATGCGTTGTCTTGTGTAATGTTATATTAGGTCTTATTTATATGCAACTGACAAAATTCCAGGACTATTAAATGCTCGAAGACGACTTAAGATTTCCTCGGATGGCAGCTGCCTCAACAAAATGACGAGTGGCGACCTCAGCTGTGCCGCTGTGCCCACAATGAAGACTTGGACACGAGACCGGCCCCAGGGCTGCCCCCGCACACGCGACACCGACGCCTTTCCCCTGCACCACCCGCACTCACGAACCTCATGTCTCGCTCGTCGCCACTGCAACGGGGTTGCCCGTACGACGAGGAATATCGCATCACAAAGAAGGATGTTGCCAGCTTCGTCTATGGTGGGGGCCAATATCACCTGGTGGCTGCCCAGTGACATGAGAACCGGGGACCAGAGAACAGAGAGTTATCTCTAAATGTATCGTAAATTTGGCAGCCTACAATTGCAGTGCGAACCCAGATTTCCAAAGAGGAGATGGATTGTAAAGCAAAGTGAATGAGGATTCCTAGTGAGATATAACAAGCTAGTCGCTCTATGGTGGCTCGCGAGGGTTCTCGCCATTTCACCAGTCACATTTCGTAACACTCTCGTTTGCTCGGCAATTACAGGGGACATCTTAATTAAAACCTACAACATCGCTGCCACGTCGTAGCACGTTCTGTCTGGCCGTGAGAGGAGACCGGGACCTGTCTACCTCCGCATGCGACAAGGGTGAAAGGCCGCCGGGGTGTGTGGGAGGAAGAAAAAGGCGACCTTGCCATTGGCCCCACGGGGTCTGGTGTCTCTCCTCCGTTGGCGCCGCAAAGTTTCCGAAGAAATTCCAGAATCTGGACACGGCAACTCCTCAAAATCAGGCGGAGAGATCTCCCAGCAAAATGAAATGTCGAGACTTGGACAGTGCCGAGGCGTCGGGGAGGGGGGGAGGGGCTGGTATGAGCCCCCCACCCCTGTTCGTTACAGCTTAAGTTTACAACGCGTTGGTACGAGAGCGAGTACAGTACGGTTCGGCAATGGGCACCGTGGCTTCTCTCACGCGCAGCGCCTCGAGAGAGAGAGAGCAGAGAGCGCCTCGTTACTCACTCTCCCTGTCGTGCTCTACGCTCGCTTTAGAGTTTAACGTTCACTGCGTCGTGCCCCCCCCCCGCCCCCTTTAAACAAGGTCACGCTACGGATTAGGAATTGGCAGGGGGCGAGGGTTATAGTTCAGAGGGTTAGAGTTCAGAGGTCATGGTGGTCACAAGGCACCGGCTGCGCGGAAGCGACACTCCTGCCGCACTCCCGCCAACCGGCTAGTCGGCTCTGTACACTTAGAATCAAGACTCTTAGAAAACAAACAACTCAACAGTAAAATTATAAAAATGAAACAATGACGTATAACATTGTACAATGACATTATTCTCTTATCAACAGAAGATCTATATTCAGGGGACGTTCTGTCTGACAGTCCCATATACAGTGGTCACGACGGCCTCGGGGAACATATTGAGGAGGTGGGGGTAGAGATTTCATTGTGGGGATGTAAGGTGCAGATTGATCACGTGTTGAGCCATGAGGGGTTGAGATATCAGGGGTAGGAGGGATACCAGGTGTAGGGATACCAGGTTTATAGACCAGGGGAAGTGATATCATGGGTTCGGGTAACAGTGGAGGTTTAACACTTTGTGTTGTTATGTTCGCTGGGTGTGCGAGACACACACACTGCGGGTAAATATCCAACGTTGGCCCAACATTCCACGTTTATTGGGCTGGACCGAGAGGAAACAGTGTGCCCGGTGGTGTGTAAGGTAAGCATGGTGTGTATGAAGTCGGCTCTGTACACTTTGAATCAAAACTCATAGAAAACATGTGGTGTGGTGAGCAGTGTGGGCAGTGGGGTGGTGAGTGTTCGAGTGAGTTATGTGGCGAGCGGTGTGGTGTGGCGTGGTGTGGTGAGCGGTGTGGTTATGCCACGGAGGCTGCGAGAGGCTTCACGGTCGCATACTCCACCGAGGGAGGAGCCGACGGATGTTTGCCTGGCGGTAGATTCTCCAGGGACGCGTAGACGACCTGAACGCACAAACACACACACCGCACGTACGCACGCACCACACACAGCGCACCGTACACGCACACCGTAAACCGCACGCACACCACACGTGATGAGTACACGTGGTGAATGAGTAGTGTGTATGTATGCAGTGTATGATGAGCGGCGAGTACATGTGATGGCGAGTGTACGTGGCGAGCGAGCGACGCGTCCTCACCCGCTGCCCGTTGGGTGGGGTGGGAGGGTGCAGGTCGCGTTCCTCGTCGTGCCGGAACGGTTTCTCGGTGAGCAGCGTGTCCTGCGGGGACCTGGACGCACACAGATAAAGATCCCCCATATAGCCTCAACAGACTGTTGTGGGGCAAGTGCTGTTCACGAGACTGGCTGCCTTTGTCTGGCCACCTTTGTCTCCCAGGTACTCATTTGAGGCCGAGTCGACCTAAGGGGAGGCCCGGGACCAGTTCGGATAACAGTCACCGGTGTTGGTGTGCGTGCGCTCACCGCGTGGTGGCTGCCTTGTCGCGGTAGCCACCCCGGCGATATTTCTTGCAGACCATGGCGATGGCGGCGATGATGACGGTGAGCATCACCACCCCGGCCAGACCCCCGATCACCATGCCCACGAGCTTCCCCTCCGAGAGCGTTTCTGCTCGCACTCACACACGAGCACGCGCACACACACACGAGCACGCGCACACGAGGCAACACGCACGCACAAGCATGCACGTGAATTTAGATCGCGTGCTAGTGAGTGCACGTGCATTCAGGGTGGGAGCAGGTGAGTGAGCTGGTATGAGCTTTAGCAGATGCATGCGTGCGAGCGAGGTTTGCTGCTGCTACTCTTGTCAGGTATGTGCAGGTGAGCGTGCAGTTGAGTGTGGATCAGTGCAGTTCAGTGGCAGCAAGCGCGTGCAGGTGGGGGACCAATGGGTGAGTGTGAGCGGGGGGTGGGGGGGGGGGTGAGTGCGAGGGCATGAGAGCAAGCAGGGGGTGAGTGAGTGGGTGAGTGCGAGTGGGTGAGGATGAGTGCGAGTGGGTGGGGGTGAGTGCGAGTGGGGGGTGAGTGTAAGTAAGCGGGGGGGGGGGGTGAGTGCGAGTGGGGGTGAGTGCGAGGTGAGTAGGGGTGAGTGCGAGGTGAGTAGGGGTGAGTGCGAGTGGGGGGTGAGTGCGAGGTGAGTAGGGGTGAGTGCGAGTGGGGGGTGAGTGCGAGGTGAGTAGGGGTGAGTGCGAGTGGGGTGGAGGGTGAGTGCGAGTGGGGGGTGAGTGCGAGGTGAGTAGGGGTGAGTGCGAGGTGAGTAGGGGTGAGTGCGAGTGGGGTGAGGGTGAGTGCGAGCGGTCACTGGAGAGAACGACGCGCAGCTCCGTGTTGCCCGCCTGGCCGCCCACGTCGGGCGGGTTCTGCACGTTGCAGGTGAAGGTGCCGTTGTCGGTGAACTTGGTGTCGCGCAGGGAGATGGTGGCGTCGCCGCTCTCCGCGTTGCCCCACAGAGTGAGGCGGCTCATGAAGCGCGACCCCGTCGGGTACGGCTTGCCGCCCGAGTACGTCAGGATCTGCACGAGCGACGGGGCGGCACCGTCGCCAAACAAGGGCAATGTCACCCAAGGAACGCGAGTGCTAACACCGCCCCTCATCTTAACCACGAACCTAGCCCCGAATAGAAACCCGAGACCACAAACCCGTAACGACCCCGTGAGAATCGGTGTGCGGCGGTGAGGATCTGTGTGCACGGGGTGGGGCCCCAAGGGGCCAGCGCTTGCGCCGGTGCCTGACCCACACGCTGCCTGACCCTCACGCTGCCTGACCCACACGCTGCCCGACCCACACGCTGCCCGACCCTCACGCTGCCCGACCCACACGCTGCCCGACCCACACGCTGCCCGACCCACACGCTGCCTGACCCTCACGCTGCCTGACCCACACGCTGCCCGACCCACACGCTGCCCGACCCACACGCTGCCCGACCCACACGCTGCCTGACCCTCACGCTGCCCGACCCACACGCTGCCTGACCCACACGCTGCCCGACCCACACGCTGCCTGACCCACACGCTGCCCGACCCACACGCTGCCTGACCCTCACGCTGCCTGACCCACACGCTGCCTGACCCTCACGCTGCCCGACCCTCACGCTGCCCGACCCACACGCTGCCTGACCCACACGCTGCCTGACCCTCACGCTGCCTGACCCTCACGCTGCCTGACCCACACGCTGCCTGACCCACACGCTGCCTGACCCACACGCTGCCCGACCCTCACGCTGCCCGACCCACACGGTGCCTGACCCACACGCTGCCTGACCCTCACGCTGCCTGACCCACACGCTGCCTGACCCACACGCTGCCCGACCCACACGGTGCCCGACCCACACGCTGCCCGACCCACACGCTGCCCGACCCTCACGCTGCCTGACCCACACGCTGCCTGACCCACACGGTGCCTGACCCACACGCTGCCTGACCCTCACGCTGCCTGACCCACACGCTGCCTGACCCACACGCTGCCTGACCCACACGCTGCCTGACCCACACGCTGCCCGACCCACACGCTGCCCGACCCTCACGCTGCCCGACCCACACGCTGCCCGACCCACACGGTGCCCGACCCTCATGCTGCCCGACCCTCACGCTGCCCGACCCTCACGCTGCCTGACCCTCATGCTGCCCGACCCTCACGCTGCCCGACCCTCACGCTGCCTGACCCTCACGCTGCCCGACCCACATGCTGCCCGACCCACACGCTGCCCGACCCACACGCTGCCCGACCCACACGGTGCCTGACCCACACGCTGCCTGACCCTCACGCTGCCCGACCCACACGGTGCCCGACCCACACGCTGCCCGACCCTCACGCTGCCCGACCCACACGGTGCCTGACCCACACGCTGCCTGACCCACACGCTGCCCGACCCACACGGTGCCTGACCCACACGCTGCCTGACCCTCACGCTGCCCGACCCTCACGCTGCCCGACCCACATGCTGCCTGACCCACACGCTGCCCGACCCACACGGTGCCCGACCCTCACGCTGCCTGACCCACACGCTGCCTGACCCTCACGCTGCCCGACCCTCACGCTGCCCGACCCTCACGCTGCCTGACCCTCACGCTGCCTGACCCACACGCTGCCTGACCCACACGCTGCCCGACCCACACGCTGCCCGACCCTCACGCTGCCTGACCCACACGGTGCCTGACCCACATGCTGCCTGACCCTCACGCTGCCCGACCCACACGCTGCCCGACCCACACGGTGCCTGACCCACATGCTGCCTGACCCTCACGCTGCCTGACCCTCACGCTGCCCGACCCTCACGCTGCCCGACCCACATGCTGCCTGACCCACACGCTGCCCGACCCACACGGTGCCCGACCCACACGCTGCCCGACCCTCACGCTGCCTGACCCACACGGTGCCTGACCCACACGCTGCCTGACCCTCACGCTGCCCGACCCTCACGCTGCCTGACCCACACGGTGCCTGACCCACACGCTGCCTGACCCACACGCTCTGACGCTGCGTGAGGCCACCCGAGCACCCATCACATCAAACTTCCTTCTGCACTCGATTTGGCTCTGAGAATGTACTATGTTGAACTTCTTTCGCACCGTACGTAGCCAAACCGTGCGAATCGTAGGTGCGGAATGATACAATCGACGGATCCGCAGTACTTCATCGCTGCCTGCAGTAGAGCGCGAGGGAAAGAGCTGCCCTCTGCTGTGTGGAGCAGAGGTCACCGGACATCACCTGCACTCACCTGACAACACTCCAGGACACCGAACCTGCTCACGGCCAACACCAGTGGCAATTATCTGAACCGGTCCTAGTCCTCCCCTAGGTCGGCTGAGCCTCAAATGAGTACTACCTGTCGCGGTGTGTAAACGTCACCACCGATGACTCAAATGCGGCCGAGTGTGGTGCTGGCCACCTACCCCCTCGTGTGCCGTCATAGGTGCTCGCTAACAGCACTTGCTCCGACAGTCTGTTATACGGGGGATCTTTATCTTTGCAGGCGAGTGCAGCCGTGCCGGGGGGTGCGCGACTCACGTTCTCGGTGGCGCCCCCCATCGCGGGTTTGAAGGTCCACATGATGAAGAAGCCGCTGCCGATGGGGTTGCTGCTCTTGTAGGTACAGGGGATGCGCGCCTCCGTGCCGTTCGTCACCTCCACCTCCCCGGACACGTACACCTTCATGGCGGCCACCTCACCTGCACGCACAGCACCTCACCTGTAACGAGGCTCCCACCCCCCACCTGTCCAGGTCTCCCACCCCCCACCTGCCCAGGTCTCTCACCCCCACCTGCCCAGGTCTCTCACCCCCACCTGCCCAGGTCTCTCACCCCCCACCTGCACACACCTCGCAGCTGTCACCTGCTTTGCTCTTCCTCTGGTCCCCACGTAGTCCGCACACCCGCCTGACCCACGCGACACATACCACCCGGACAAGCTCAGACACGGCTCCCACACGGCTCCCTCACGGCTCCTCCGGGCCGATGTCGCCACAACACTTACACCTTTTACGGTCGGGCAGCACAGCGAGGTGGTCAGCGTCGTGCGGTAAGCAGCCCGCCCCTCCCACGCCGCACATTCCGAGGGGGCAAGAAGAAACACGGCGTTTGTTTGGGATAATTTCCTTAGAAAAACGGCCAGCGGCGAGGGCCAGCGGCGCACCGGGCTCGCAATCCACGGCCGTCTCGTGGCGCGCCGCGGTTTAAACGACCGGGGGCGGGTTTCTTAAATCCCCTACCCGCCGCCTCCATGCACCCAGCGGGGCAAACGCGGTACCGCTGCGGTTAATCTACGATCGGAAGGTCGTGTGTGGCGGATGGCCGTCAAGCATCGGTAACTCCCAAACCTCCCAAGGCCACAGCGCGGAAGAGTAGGCCAAAGCACCCTCGACTGGAAAGGGCCTCTCCAGACCTCCCACGGGCAGGGGAGGCCCTTCCGAGGGACTTCATTGGTCGAGGCGGATAAGCGACGGTCGGATATGCGCCGTTGTGCAGGACAGCAAGGTGGTGGTCGTGAACACCCTGCCAGCGTGCATTCGACACTTCACGTGGCCTCAACATGCACATAGCCTGGCACAAGCGCCGTGGTGACGTCACCGCCACTTAGTGGCGAATGGCGGTTGTTGTTGTTGGTCGTGACCATTCTGTGCTGTACAAAGCTCCCTCCGCGCACATCTTGATTCCTCCCGCTTATTGCGCAAGCGCTCCGCAAGGAAACGGATTCACGTCCTGAAGATAGCGCTCGCATTCCTTGCAGCTTCCTGGCTAAATCACAGCCACTGTGGCTACTGGGCAGTGCGGGCGGCGGCACAGAGGTTGGCGTGAGAGCTTCCGTGATATCATGTCCCGATACGACGTGCTATTAAATTCCACGATAAGATGACGATTTTATTTTGCCTGCGTTGGGAGGTGGAGGCTTTGCGACAAACGTTGGGCCAGACCGCTGTGCACGGCCTAACCCCAAAATCCCTTCCCAGAAGTTGAAGAAGATATTATCATTACTTTTAATGAGCGTTCAGGGTTAGTGATGAGGATCATCGTTTCGGATTAGCAACATGCGCCGCTGACCTCACACACGCCGTCAATTCCGCCGCAAATAATTATATAACTCGACAAACCACGAACTCGCAACGTAATTTGCGAAGCGCTAATTTCACGGACAATACCATTTGTTTAATTCCAACGTCATGTTATTTCCTAAATACGATTAGGAAAAATCCTAACGGACGATGCGATCATCGTGGCATCGCGGCCACCTCCTCCCAACGCTCCGTGGGACTCTCGGACTGCCACCCCATGAGAGCTTCCAAGGCTCAAGGGGCCTTACCCAAACTTGACCGACCAAGCGCTACAAACCAAGATACCCGAGTTCAATTCCCACCCGAGGCAATATCTCAATCGGCCCGGGTAACCTTCCTCAACCAACCTGTGGCTGTAGAATCCCTCCGTGGCCAATGAAGTCGGTACCGTTTCGTGGGCAAGTGAGCAGCGGTTGCCCTTGACGGCTACGTTCCTACCACAGGGAAGTGGAACTTCCAGCCACTCGCTCTGCGGGCGGGCTGTAGACAACGGACGAGCACAAGAGCATCGGCGTGGCTCGTTTGGGCAGCAGGAAATCACTCCTTGCGAGTTTCTAAGATACTGGCACACGGGGGGGGGGGGGGGCTATGGGTGGAATGGAACGCCACAGTGGGGCAAGTCTGACGTCCAGACTCTCGTAACAAGGTTCACGCCACCCTCGGGGCAACGACGACGACGACGACGACGATGAGGAAGAGTGTTGTTGGCACATCCGACTCGCCGCGGACCGAGGCGAGGGCGGATGACGCGGGAAGGTTGGATGAGCGATCGCGTTGGGTTCGGGATCATGTGGGGTTAGCGAGCACGTGGGGTTAGCGAGCGCGTGGGGTCACCCCGCCGTAGGGTGTGCCACGTCATGAACGTAGCACGCGGGCCGGCCGAGACACGGGGAGGAGACACGGAAAGGAGACGCCGCGTGGCCGTGCTGGAGAAGCGAGCGACGATTCAAACGGAGAGATTCCTGCTGCTCACCTCCTGTGGCAGGAGTGAGTTTATCTCTAGGACAATCACTGTTGTTGACTTCCCCGCAAAATGGTGCTCGATTTATCGATCCCGGAGGGAGGAATGATAGGCCGAGTCACCCCCCCCCCCCCCCCCCCCCGCTGCTGACCAGGATTTGAACTCAACAGCAGTGGTCATAATAATGATGATAGTGACGCTGAGACTCATAATGAGGTTTAAATGCCAACAGATGTAATCAGGAAGAGGGCGTTGTGATGGGTGTGGTTTGAGTGCTGACGTAATCAACAAGAGGAGGATGTGAAGAGGAGGGTGTTGTGGTGGTGGTGAGGGTCTTGTGGTGGTGAGGGTGGTGAGGGTGTTGTGGTGGTGGTGAGGGTGTTGTGGTGGTGGTGAGGGTGTTGTGGTGATTATGAGAGTGTTGTGGTGGTGGTGGTGAGGGTCTTGTGGTGGTGAGGGTGGTGAGGGTGTTGTGGTGGTGGTGAGGGTGTTGTGGTGGTGAGGGTGTTGTGGTAATTATGAGAGTGTTGTGGTGGTGGTGAGGGTGTTGTGGTGGTGGTGAGGGTGTTGTGGTGGTGGTGAGGGTGTTGTGGTGATGGTGAGGGTGTTGTGGTGGTGGTGAGGGTGTTGTGGTGGTGAGAGAGTTGTGGTGGTGAGGGTGTTGTGGTGGTGGTGAGGGTGTTGTGGTGGTGGTGAGGGTGTTGTGGTGGTGGTGAGTGTGTTGTGGTGGTGAGGGTGTTGTGGTGGTGAGAGAGTTGTGGTGGTGAGGGTGTTGTGGTGATTTTGAAGAGTGTTGTGTTGTGGTGGTGGTGGTGAGGGTGTGGCCGGTGTGCAGGATTGCACAGGGCGGGGTGTTCCCTGTACAGTGCGGGTGTGTTTTTGTCCCCTCATCCTGTACAAGTGTCACGTGCATGCGGCCAGAGTCTATCCACTGCTGGATGAGGGCCCCTCCTTGTTGATTGTTTTCAGATGATGTTGAAAACAGTGTACGGAACACACAACATACACACTATACCGACAACACATTGTAAGAAGTATTTACACAACTCATACACAACGGCACAACACTTTACACTAACAATTAACACACCTAAATGACATATGCACACACTATTTACACAACAAATACAAAGCCATTACCAGACTGTTGGGGAAAGTGCTGTTAGCGAGCACCTATGAACGCAGGAACGGCACACGAGGGGGTGGGTGGCCAGCACCACGCCCGGCGGCCTTTGTCTTCCTCGTGGTGATGTTTACACACCGCGCCAGGCACTAATTAGAGGCCGAGTGGACCCAGCAGAGGCTCAAGACCATTTCATAAAATCGTCACTGGCGACGACGATGGCGGTGATGATGGGACTGTGAGAGTCAACCTCCAGGGACAAATCCACCGTCCCAGTAAACGCGAAACGTTGTTGGGCCAACGTGGGTCAAAACGGTTCCCACCGCGTGCCAACGTCGGCGCGACGTCGGCGCGACGTCGGCACGCTTCCTGGGCCGCTGCCACCACTGGATCGCGAGCTGCGGCGAGGCGAGCGGCGCCGCCACTTCCGTGGCCGTGGCGACCTCTGGGCCGTGACCCGCCACTAATGCCCGCGACTGGCCGTGGCCCACGTCGGCGAGTCAACACAGCGGCCGCGTTGCCGTGTGCCTCACCGCACAAGTGCGTCTAGACTAAGTTACTCCTCGTGTGCCATTACGTGGTAACGGCGCTGCTCATGCTGTTGACGATGGCGGTGGTGGTTGTTGTTGTCGTTGTCGTCGTTTTGCGTCAAGGGATGACAATGTGTCCTAGCGGTCAGCACTGGACTTGCGATCCACGCGTCGCCGTTTCCATTCCATCTCCCGGCGCGGCATTTGAAAGAATGGGGTCAAGTTTCATAAATCACCCCCCACCACCGCTCCAACCAACGCCTCTCCTCCGTGCACCCAGCAGCAGCAGCGTCAATGAGCATGCCAGAGTTGATTGGGAGGCCGCGTGTGGTGGAGTCAAGTATGGGTACTACTCCCATCTCTTCATACGCAAAACACACACAACGGACACAAATTACACAGCTCACGGGATTCATTCAGCATACACACCGCACACTGAACACCCCACCCCACACACTGCACAACAAACACCACGCGCTACACGCGCTCCGTAAACACCGCACGCACGACCCAGACTCCCCTGCACTGAACTCACCATGGGAGCGGCAATTTGCAGATGAAATGTAATTGCCCCAAGGATAATTGCAGGCGCACACGCACGTACACTCGAGCACATCCTCACACGAGCACACGCGCACATTTTCACAAATACACACCACGCACAACCACATACATACAAACTACACCACACAGCCACATACCACAGAGACAACCACACATTACTACATTAATCCACATTTACCATCGCACACCAAAATCCCACAACCATACACTATCACAACCACACACAGCCACACATACTATCATAACCATAACACATGCAACCACACAATCACAACTTCTTCACACACACGAATACTATCACAACCACAACACACACAACCACCCCGTAGACACCTATTCACACACACACAACCACACATGCTTAAAACCGTGCCATTCGCAACTCTGTGGCAGTAAATGTCACGAAGTGGCGGTGATGCGCCAGGCTCGGCACAACTTTGAGC